CATGCACGAAATGCCCCAAACAATATGTAGGAGAAACTAAGAATAATTTACGAACTCGCTTTAATGCTCATAGGTCAGACATCAAATTAAAGAAAGACAAGCCTGTTTCTAATCATTTCAACCTCGACGACCATTCAATAGACGATCTCACCCTAATCCCAATTGAGCGTATAGAAATTGACTTGCCCGAAGATGAAACTACCAAATTCCGTCAATCTAGGGAGGCCCATTGGATTGAGACATTGAATACAGCAAGACCTATAGGACTAAATATTCATCATAATGTAGGCATAGCACCCTTTGTTGTCCCGTTTAATACAACCAGCAATCGAGCAAGCAAGATAGTTCATGCCCACTATAAGAGCCTTCAAGAGAAATTCCCCCATGTCTATAAGCAGAAAATGATAGTTGCATATTCAAAAAATAAGAACTTAAATGATAATATTGTTCATAGTAAACTAAAAACAATCAGTACATAACAGATACTATACTTCTCGCCCATCGGGCGAGTTATTTTTTCTAATTTCAGATCAGAATAAGAACAGAAGAAAACCCAATATCAAGACCCTTAATCCTAATTTCTAAATAAAGTGTCTGCTCCACCCTAGGCCTGTACATTTGGGAGAATCAAACCCTCCCTTCCCCGAAATCTAATTGATCAATTTCTCTTAGAATTAACTATCATAATATTGAACATTTTCCTATACACTGATTAGATAATTCGACAGCTAGCAGAAGTTTGACTGAAGAGAGGTCTTACTTAATTTTCAGTTAAGATCACTAATAGTTTTAGTTAATTGTAGATAATTTATGGTAATGTTTAAATAATTTCTAAGAATATGACATTTTTATTTTTTACAGTTTTCAACTCCTTCCTTTAAACCACGTAATACCAATCGGATATTGTCCGGAGTGGCATTGTATCCCATAATTCCTACTCGCCATATTTTTCCAGCCATCATTCCAAGACCACCCGAAATCTCCACACGGTAACTGTAAATATATTAATGTTTCAGATGTATTGACTATTATTCTTAAAACATTTTTTTGGGGAACCATTTCAAACATAAATTATTTTCAATATTCATAGTAAAGGGCGATCACTCTATTGTTGAAGAGCACCAAATGTCAAAAAGTAACACTACTCTTGATTTTGGGTATATGCATTGAGTCAAAGTTTATGCAAGATAGTCTTGCAAAGTAAAGTGACATACGCCAACCAGCAGCTTTTATTGCATGTACAAATCATTGTGTGTAGCCTGTAGAGTGAGCACGAGCCAAATGTGAATGGATGATTGGACGGATAACAATATGCTTCCATACTACATGTGGGCATATAAAATCAAAAGAATTGTTGCTTGAAGACTGATGACATGGCTACCAACAAGGTACTTCTACATAGGTTAAAGAAAAATGAAACTTACTTTTTCATAGCATAATCAGAGACATCTTTCCAGTTGACTCCATCAGGTACCTTTATAGCTGTTACACAAGGATTGCGTAATTCTTTCTGAGGTACTAACAGTTCTAAACCCATCTTTTCTACTCCTTCCCATAATTGTTCAGCACATACTTTGTTATTCTTCCAACTCTCTTCTAAACCCTGATAATATCAATTATATCTTGTAAAATCAAATTCTGTTTTTCCAGTTTAAAGATATTTAGTCATCTTTACAGTAATAGCAGATATGGTTTCAGAATTAAAGCCTATCGTCCAGTTATCCTGTAACTTAGTAAAAACTTACTGCATCTATTTGTCTTCACTTACAAGGTAGCAAGAAAGGAACAGGGAGGTGTGAATAGAATAGAACCTATGCCATGTAATATCGGTCTTGTCTCTTTGCCACAAGAAAAAAATCAGCGACAAGTAACAAATCCTAGTGGAAATGCCATGGTATTGTTGTGGAAGATTTTACTCCAGATTCGCAGTAAAATTAGCGACAAAACTGTTCCACAGCATCAGGTTCAAACACAGTTAAAATTGAAAATCAAACTTACCAATTCAGCTAATCTAGCTAAACCTTCTCTCAAGGCATAAACACTAGTAATAGGAGCAGTATGATGGTATCTATAATAAATATTATAATATGATGAAAGTTCAACATTAGTTAGTATTATACCTTGTAAGCCTAATGATTTTGTATAGATATTGATATGATGACAGTTGTAAATCCTTTAGTTTATCAATAATTAATGGTACATAGGTATACAACCTATTACAATAACTAATAATCACCAGTTTAAAAAATAGGATGACTTTTATTTACAATATGAACAATACTCTTTATAAAAAAAAACAATAAATAAAAAATATTCTAACCGTCTAGGTTTGTCATCACAGCCCCAATAATTAGCCAGTTCATTAGCATCAAAATAATACGAACGACATCGACTTTTACGATTCAATACAGCTTCTCTGTAAAATAGAATTAACAATTGGGAATAATAATGAATTTAAAACCTGTGGAGCTAGACAGCTGCAAGATATATTGTGTATTAGATACTTGTCACTATTTGCCATATTTTTTTAGTAATATAGTTCTTGAAAATATAGAGAAACTGATGCAGAATTTACAATTCCACTCAGTGAAATCCACTGCTTATACCACAATACAATAAGCAAAAAGCTGTCTTACCTGGCTCTATTAGAGAAAGATATTGGACTGGCTCCTGGAGGTGAACTTAAAACTTTCTGTGAACCAGAATACAAGACATCAATACCTAAAACAGTCAATCAAGTTATTTCATACAAATCTTCAACTATATCAGACTTTTTTTTTTTTACTTTTATTTTTAGTATAGCCAATTTAGAGTAGGGCCTAACGACTGAACATTCCTCAAAATATTCTTTTGACCAAATCTACTTTAACCAATCAGATTCTTTCAATCTCTCACTAAACTCCAACACTGGAGAAGGCGTAAATGTAATTGTTTAAAGCAGGTTAGGTCAAAAGGTTATTTCGACGAATGTTCAAAAGTCTGGATGTTGGACCCTACTCTGAAGTGGCTATATTAAAAATAAAAACTAATAAAATAAACAAAACAAAAGTTGGGTCTAATTTTAATTACACTACAACTATATTTATATGTATACATATATCAAACTAAATTAAATAGTTATGTTTTATTGTACAAGTATTTTCCTTCATAGGTGCCACATTTTTAAGATATGTTCTTAGAACACTTAGAAAACTATTATAATATATTACACAGTATCATATATTCGCTTATCAAATTAAAAATTGAGCACCCTGAATAATTACAATTGATACTCTCCCACAAGCTAATCCATAAAGCTGACTGATTATAGATTACCCCATGAAAATTCAAACTAAACTAAACCTAAGTGTTCATTAAGGTTGAGAGCATTCTGCCATGCTTGCAATAAAGCCATACATACCAAATTTATCCATATACATAGGAACACCTCCTAGAGCAGCCACAGAATCAACTAATAATAAACAGTTATTTCTGAAAATCAAAAAAGATTGATAAGTCATTGTATAATATTCTTGCTGTCCAATTCTCGCTCATGTTCAATGAGTTCTTCCAGTCAATAACAAATAAAACACAAACAGTTAATAGTGACACATCAAGTTAAATCAAGTAAATCCTGGAGAATTATAACTAATATTCTGTAAGCAACTTACAAAAACCTTGGCCAATACTTGTATAGAATAGTATTTTCTATAATACCAAACACTACTAAGATATTGTAAATGAAATCATACTCATCATTGCAGCAGCTATAACAAGAAGTCAAAAGTGCTAGTGCTTTCCATAGAGGATTTGATGTTTACTACCAAAACAGACTTACTTGTGACAAAGTTCTCCAATACCCTCTAAAGGTTGAGCTGTAGCACCTGATGATTCCCCATGGGTAATAAATAATATTTTAGGTTTGTGCTTCTGTAAACCCTAAAACATAAAGATACTGATGTTTGTGGTAAATCATTTAATCAATTACAGCTCTTTAAGGAGCAAGATAGGTCTTAAAGCAACACTCAAAAATATCTCAATCTAGGAATTTCTTTTCCTATTTCTATAGATGTCTCTTTTATGATGGCAGTGTCTCATGAAAAGGCGACTTGTTGTAGTTGTAATTTGTTGACCATGCAGTCATAAATAGGGTATGCACAGAAAACTAATTGCATCTATGAAGTCTAGTAAATAAGAGAAGCACTTGTTTTGAAACTCAATTCTACATGGGCCATCACCTGGGGTAGGACTGTTGCTCATCGGACTATTGCTCACCAGATAGTTGCTCACTAGAGGGAGACTGTCTTCCTTTGGCTCCACCACTGATGCTCACTGAAGAAATGAGAAATATGGTGAGCAACTGTCCTATTTATCATTTCTTTGGTGAGCAACTGTCAGGTGATCCAATGAACAACTTTCCTATACCCCCATCACCTTACCTCTTCAATTTCTTTCAAATTAAAAACTTCTCCCATTGGTCTGATTAATTTCTGAGCAACTGACCCTGTAAATCACAAAAAAGTAACTTGGTAATCATGCTCAAAATACACTCAAATTGTTAAAATAGAAGACCAAGGAGTCAAGGACCAAAAGCTAGCTATATCATATTGGCTCATAGGTATGGGTATACTAATCAACTCTGAACAACTTGCTTCACTTTGTTATTGAGTTTGTCAACACCCTTTAGAGTTTTTGGTGACAAGTAATTTTTAGTTATATTATTAGATACTGAAAAGACTAAATCATTTTTGTAAACTTGCTATGGAGACTTCCCCCAACTGGCATTTCACAAAAACTTACCATTTCTTTCCACCATATCAGCAAAACGTTCACCCCAGATTCCATTTTGACAGACTAGAGCTACTTCATCTTGTTCAAGTAAGTTACTACAAGCAGCTTCCATAGCAGCATGTCCTGAAATATGTCAGGTAATAATAAAATATGATTAACTCTCAAACCTGCAGTTTTTTTTGCTCAATTCTATTTAAGCATACCCATACTCAGATCATCTGCAGAAGAAAACATAGAACAATGCACTGTATAATATTGCTTATTACATATATCCCTGGTTCCCAACATTGGGGGTGTGGAACTAGGATGTTAGGGGTGTGGTCCACTGGTGTAGGAGAAGAATTCATTTTGAATTGAGAGAGCACCTCACATCATCACATGCTTCAAATGTGGATGAAACAAATTTTTGGGGGTGTGAAAGGCCCTGGTGATTGCTGAAAGGGTCAGGAACCACTGATATATATTGACAGCATGACGTTCTGGCATCAATGACAGATTTCTATCATATGGCCAAGGAGATTGAAACCAAATTTCTTAAAGTCTTACAGATTAAAAAGAGAGGAAACTAAAGAATTTTCCAAAAGATTTTACTCATGTATCACAAAAGTCTAATGCAAATATCCTTACCTGTTCCAGAAATAACAAAAGTCCAAGTATTGTCTGTTTGGAAAGCATATTTTAATCCTTCTTTCACTTCATCCATAATCTATGATAGAGATTATTACATTTCTTAGGACAACTATGGTAGACCTACTAAGTGCCTTTAAAAATTCACTTATAACTGCTGAATCCCACAACAAACTTGTTATTTAGTCTCTCCTGCTGTATAGGGTCATTTTATTTTATTAAATGTTCAATACATTTTGTTTATGTGTTCAGTTTTTTCCAATATTTGATCAAGATGTTCTACATGGTCAGCATTTCCTTCATTACAAGATGTATAATATAGTTAAAATCTAAAAATATCTGAGTGTAAAATTGGGAAAAAAAGATATCATGTCCCTTTAAATCATTAATATACAAAGTCATACATTGTAGGCATGTGTATTTTATATCATTAACATAGATTACATAGAATATCTTCACTGAGTATGATATCTCACAATAATCATGGATAGTAGCATCATATACATTGTTACATTTTGTTGCAATTAGGTAAGGTAATAATGTTTAAATCATATAATATCTACAGCAGGTTGATAAAAAAAGGTTATCTGCAGATAATATCAAGAGTTACATAAAATTCCAAAGATATATTTTAAAGTAAAAACTCTGTGTACTGTGGTTTCTCAATTTTTTTCTGTCCATATGGAAAGAATCGTCTGCTATAAATTATAATTCTTACCTTGATGAATTCCGGATGAAGATGTCCTAACATCGGCAAAGCACAGGCTGCAAGCACTCTTGGTGGGCAGTTTGATGGCCCAGGCCCCATTAAAACTTTATGGGGAAAATCCAGGGGCCGCAGTAAAGACGGAGGGGGTGGGGATAGATCTGAAGACGTCGACATAGTGTATACAGTTGATGCACGTGCTTTATGACGTAGTAATTTAGCCACCTGACGAGGTAAATGTGATCGAAACGACACAGAAATCCCGGACAGCGACATGGTGACCTCGATATTCTGTAATATTATCTATAAACCTGAGATTTTACTCAAACACTGATAAGGCACTTTTCAACAGGGCATGGTTTATCTTGTGAACTCTAACCCAGGATGCATTTCATTTTGATAATTTTGGTGTTTTACAGTTGAAGGGAGAAAACTCTTGATTAGCATTTGTAGCTAAGACTACAAATAATAATAATGAATCATAAATCAACTGCAATGGTTATGGGACAGGTTACATACATTCAATGTTGATGTTAGTGAGGGGAGTGGGTACTTTTAATGTACAAGCCATCTTAAAGAAATGGGTCTTAATATGGTTTGTTTGATCACATGTTCAATTCAGATGCAGTGAAGGTGGATATGCTTAATTTCCATTAGCTTTCCTATGTATGTAGGCTACACTAATCATGAGCTAAAAATACAATTAAGCCTCCAATTTTTGGGGGGTTGTTCTGTTGTGCTAGTTTCAGTGCATCTCACAGGGCTGTGGATAATTGTTTTTTTTTATATCCTTTATTAAATGCTGATGTCTTATGCTTTACTTTTTATATTTTTGTGATATTCTTATAATGTTAACAATAATATACAGTATTACAAAAATACAACAAACTTCAATAATTTGATTTAAATATAAATATTCTGTTGTTACAATAATATTTACCAAAATTTTGGGATGTGTCAAACAATTAACACAAGTTCATGATAGAGGACTATTGACAATAATGATGCAAAAAAATGTCTCAAACCAACATGAACAGTCTACACTCTAGGTTTGGAAATGTCCCTGATTGACTGACTATCTAATGTAAAAATAAAGTGTGTTCAAGCAAAGATATATGAGTACATCCTGGTCCAAATCAAAGCATAAACTGGAGCAGTCTATTTTGAGGGGCTGAATGGATGATTATTGAACTGTTAGACCTATATTGTGTTAATTACAACCCTAAAGGGACTTGTGCAATTTTGTTTACCAATCGTACCTTAATCTTTGAAACGGTAATTTTTTAAACCTAGCAATTCAATAATAGTGTTCATAGCTCACCGTCGAACTTTGAGTGTTTAAGTGTCAAGAATCATCCGCGATTGAAAGTCAAAAAGACTATTTGTCTTTTCTTGAGATACTGTCATATATAGAAAAGATATCTATAGAATAGGAAAAGAAATTCCTAGTTTGAGATATTTATGGATATGCATTTTTGGTACATTTCTAGCACTTTTGAAGTTTATTTACATATATTCAAAACTTAAATCAACCCCCAAAATGGCACAACTGTCCCTTTAAAATACCTAAAAAAATTGGACTGTTTGTGTCTAACTTTTGAATTGTACCCAGATGTGTATAAATCTCTTTGCTTGACTACATGTTTGTGGTTTATGCGTAAATGTACCAGCATATGAATATATAACAGTAATCAACAATTATACACAGTTCTACACCATAACCAATAAATAAAACACTGCACTATCAATCATCTAACTTGTAAAACTAGAAGTTCAATATTTCAAATATAAATCAAAATATTGGAAATGCCCATAATCCTTGATTTGGTTGGTGTAATAAGAGAGTCAATGAGAAAAACAATGATGTATATCTACAAATGTTGTTGATTTGGTTTAAGCTTTATGTATGAAGATGACAGACAGGGAAATAAAAGTATAGGTCAGTCATGAATTGTGTTACAATCAGTATATTATTAACTCGAGACTGACAAAAAAAAAATGGTCTAGGTCATATATTCTAAGAAGTTATTTTTCTTCAGAGTTTGTTCCGTTTCCTAAATCACCAGACAAAGTCTGTAATAATAAGGTTCTCAGAATTTAACATGACTTTGAATAGATGAAATTACAGTTTAAACATGATAGTTTGGTCCCACCAATTCATGCTATAAGACAAGGTTTATCAATACAGTTCTTAATGCTAATAGCTACCTGTGTACCCATATTTCATTAATATCAAATTCAACTGTTCTAACTTTGAGCTATGTCCTATATGACAAGAGCTCACTTTTATATTTGGTCAACATGTTGATAACGGACATAAAATCTGACAGGTTTCGACATAGAAATCAAGGTTTCTAGTAAGATCCAAGATCAAAATTAAATAACTTGAATCCTTCAAATATTTCTGTATGTCTGTTTAATAAATTTGTTAATTTGTGGAGAACATCTTCTACGAGATTTTTTTTCCTTGGCATTACTTTGGTGAACTCAAATAAGTCAATTTAAGCACCGGCCTAGGAGAGAGCTCAAAAGGCTAAGCAGCATGATTCATAGATGATAAGTACAAAAGAGGTATTCACAAATTTTGATGCAGGCTGTCCACCAAAGGAATAGTCTTAGCGAGTTTTTTCATGACATTCTTTCATTTTTGGTCTATGTTTCACATCCATTCAATAACATGAATAAATTTCAAAACAGCTTCCACCAAATCACACATGAAAACCAATAATTATCTTTTCCCAAAGTTAGTCAAAAAATCCAAACTTCCATCTTGTTCAGTTGTTAATTCCAAAACTTTCTAAAAAACTCAGACATCAACCATGAGTCTGTTGTTCTTCTTATATCATTTGCTTCCTTTATATTGCCAGTCTTTAAGATCTAAAGCATCAAGTTGCTGAAGTCGTCTGCTGCGCCAGCGTAACCATAACAACCCTATAGCAACACATATAGCAGTCTCAATGTAGTAACCATCTAATGTCGTTATACAGGAACCACCTTTTTCAGTACATACCTAAAAAAAAATAAAAATATATTATAATTAAAGTCATCTCAATAAATAGTTCAAAAGTCTCGCCAAGCTTTGATTTAATGATATCTGAATAAGCCAAAAACCACAAAAAAATAAATTCTAGATATTTACATAGCCAGAGGATGGGGAGCCAAAATTTTCTACCTTTCAATCATACATAATATAAAAGCTTCATAAAAAATCAGATAAAATATCTATGTGTTTTACATATTCAAGAGAAATAATCAAAATCAAAAATATTTATCAAAATATCAAATTCAGACTAAGATTAGATTAAAATTTTATTCAGTTTACAAGATAGGCTAGAAAACCTATGGACAAGGGGTCAACGCCAGTATGTATCCAGTGGGGGATATCTAAATAATAAAATATAGGGTGTGAACTATCATACAAAGCTAACTAGAGAAAAAACTTACAGCAGAACCATCTTTGGTATAACAGTCACCAACTCCCCCATCACATGATTTCCATGTTATATAATCAACAAACCATAACATAAATGTTGAGGGCCAATTTCCACCTGAAAAAAAAATGAAAATTGAAATGTTAGGTATTCATCACTTTTAGCTTAAACAATCTTATTATATGAGAACTTAAATGTTTTTTTGGGTTCAATCTAGTGAAAAACCTTAAAAAACATGTCTAAAAGTGATCAAACTTCATATCGCTAGGAGAATTGACTTTTTCACACTGATAGACACTTACCTAAATTCGCCACTGTATTGAGTAAAGTCATGTAACTTCCTCCAATAGTAGGGTCACTCACTTTAGCATTAAAAGCCATTTGACTTACAAACATACTGTACACGAAAACCTGAAATGAATAAATTAATAGCTTAATGGTTCCAAAACATTTTACGTGTATTAGCATCAATTTGCAGTTAATTTGTCTAAACAGGTGTTTTATGACATCATTATGGCAAAGGCCCTTAGATATTTAGATATTATATTACTTTCTTGAGCTATTCTAAAGACTATCAAACAATATCTTTTATTGAATGCTCCAGAAGTTCATTAGCTCCTGACTGTGAAATATGATAACAATAAGGTCCATGGTTGGGGGTCTTTAAGGATAACTCACCTGATGCAAGGCATAGCATAACAATAATAGAGCATAGAAATAGATAGGGAATTCCCCTGGTTTTATCTGAACATGAAATGCTAAATAAACTATTCCAGCATACAACACTCCTAAACCCATCCTGTAATATACAATTATCAAATATTAAATCTTTCTGTACAGTGTTTTAATGAAAGGTAATGCTTTTGTGAGCAAGTAACCTGAAAGGGGTAAGAGAAAGAAAAAGGTTGAAAACCTGTGAAAAAAGAGCAACTAGGTGTTTGTGATTAATTGCCACAGAAAATGCCCACAAAGTATATGATATCTATACTACAAAACTCAGCAGGTAGCTTGAATAGGAAGCTGTCAGCTGGTAAAATGTCTAGCTGGATATCTGAAATCTTTGAATAGTTTCTGCTTATATACTTACCTAAATGGCATAGCTTTAAGAAAGATTGACATAGGTCGAGGACCTGATGTATATTTACTAATAAATATAGGTAGTACTATCTGTATTGGTATCATAGGTATAGCAAACACTGCTAATCTTTCTTTAGGCATCCCTGATTCTATTAATTTTAGACTAGTTAATGAATCTGTTGCTGAAAATGCTACCTACAAAAAAGTGACAAAATAGAGAAATTAAAAAAAGTATTTTGACCATAAGGAAGAGCAATCTAGTAATAAGCGTTATTTATTTTATGTAGAAATATTAAAACAGAACTTGAATCATATTGTTTCTGGGAGTTTCATGCATGCTTCAAACAACTGACCTATTTCAGTCTGCATCCCTACTACATGTAGATATATCACTGGAATAATAAGACAATTCAAAATAGTTCAGTTGAAGAATCAAGAACATGCTACCATTATGTAAACTTTCCTAAAATCAAAATAGTTTAGCAAATGCAATCACATATAGGTATCTGGCCTGGATTTTCGAAGAGTTAGGATGTCCTAGGTTCTTTTTCACACTGTTTCTAGGATATCTTGGTGTTAAGATTATTTAAAGACATTCAAAGGTAAGTGTACATAAGGGCTGCCAACACAGCTTATGGATATTTGTTCACTACAACATTATTAACGTGATATCTGTAGTAAATCCTTTACCTTAGAAGTAAGCAGTATAATACAATATGACACTACTGCAGGCAACCTAATAACACTGATTAGTATTTTATATGTTTCAAAAATGCCCATCTCAGGATCAACATCTGGATCCGCTCGTTCTCGTTTGAATATCATAACTAATGTTGTTGTAACAAAAAATACAACACTCCAAAAATATAAAAATCCTAAAAATAAAAATTATTAGTACAATATCAATCATAACATCTAAGTCAAGCAGTCTATCTATAAATACATCAGCATTAATTTTACATGTAGCAATACAAAACACTTAATATCTTTTAAAGTATATTAAATAAATTGATGTATTCTAAAGCTGAAATCCATAGTCTCTTCTTGTGACCTAAGCCAGTGCTTCTATAGGAGAGAACACTATAACACTTCATACAAAGCTAAAGTTGGTTTTCATGGTATCGTTGCAAAATTGGCGATTTGAACTACATTAACTAAAATATTTTGTAATGTTTCTACATATACTGCATCAAAATGGAATCAAATTTAATAAAAAAATTTCTACAAACCTGCTAATGTTACAAAACCTTCCTTCTGTGGAACTGAACGTAAATATTTATTACAGAAATCAGCTGACTCCAGTCCCAGAAAAAAGACATTTCCTATAAAATATCCAGCAGTTTGTCCTACAGAATTACATGTACTGGCCCAGCCTACATTACGTCTGAAATGACAAAACATTGAAACTGAGTTATCACAAGAGGACCGAATATAGCAATAGGTATTCTCTAAATTGCAAAGAAGGTTACCTTTATTCGTAGCAAATATACATAGTGCATTTCCAGGTTAAAATGTTAGAAAAGTAACAAGCAAATTCTTAACACAAGACACTGGCATAAATTTAATCAGTTAATATTATTTATTTAGAAATTTACTCTATAAAATTATCTCCCTTTAGTGTGTCAAGGGAGGTAATTTTAGAATGAATTCAACACTAACCTTGATAACATTGTTAAAGCCCATCCATCAACAGCAATATCCTGTGTAGCAGCTAATGAGTTCAACATAAAAAATATGAAAGTTAATAATAAAATATTCACTTTTCCACTGTCGTCTCCATCACCGAGGACATCTTTAACATAATAGGACAACACAAACATAAAAACACCAATCAGATACTGAGTTGGCACTAACCACGTTTTACGACGTCCAAACCATGGAATATATATAGAATCAACAAGAGGTGCCCACAACAGTTTTACACTAAAGGGCCAATATACAAAACTAAATAAGGCTTGGTCTTTATAACTAACGTGTCTACTGGATAGTAACATGGGTAAACTTCCAGCTAGTCCTAGTGGTATTCCTTGTAATATATACAAAATCAACAACAATCCTATACTAGAGTAATCTCCCTCTAACCCGCGGTTATCTTTATTGCTCCCATCACTCTCTTCGTCTTTATCAATAACATTTGAAAATAGTGGTACATGTGGCGAATAGTCACTGCTTTCAAAATCAGCTCTCTCCACAAACTTTCTACCTCGTTTCCGACCCTTCACATTATTTCCTGAATCCATACTTGATTCTTGTGTTAGTAGAGGTAAGTTGAAAATTTCTTTCAAAACATAAACCATCAAATTATGCTGATGTCATGCTGGTTAGGTTATACTGAAAGAGACAAATTAATACAATAAAATAACAATATGGTGTACCATACTTAATTAATCTGCATAATGTAAATTAACAAGTCAAAATATGAATCAGTAGGCTATCAATAAACATACTTTTCAGGAATATAGTCTCACATGTAACTGTTCACAAGAGTCCATATGCACTACAAATTAGGTATGGTATAGACTTTAATCTTAGGCCTATGTGCTGCGTCTTGATTATTAGGATTGGAATTTAAAATCATATGTTCCTATTAAAATAAATAGAACTATATGAATACCAATACATCTCCGAGGCAGATTTGTATTCGTATTTTAAAACAAAGATTGCAAATATAAAAGATGTAAAATTAAAAACCTTTTTAGCTGATTCAATGTGCCATGTGGACCTAATTTAATTCAACTCAGTCACAGTGTCCAACTTTAATCAACTACCCTGATATAACAGCAATCTTTAGTACCGTACTTCATATATCAATTCAAATATCCATTACTTGAAAATTTCTACCAGTCATTTAGAAATCAATTAAGAAGATTGAAACATATGCTTAGGATATAGCTACTGGTGAGACGTGTCGTCTCAACAAGGCTTAATAAAACCGGAAGTTAACTCTTTCCGCAATGAAGGACAGTTTTCGTCGTCCATTGATAAACATCCGGATTTGAAACTTAACGAGGTTGACAATTTTTTAATATTTTCTAAATGAAAAATATAGACATTACTATTTACTGACAACCATTATAGATGTCATCTGAACGAACCACTCCCCTACGACAATTTATTCCCTTTGTGGAATAGTCTGAAACATGTGCCCCAAACTGAACGTGAAAGCAAGAGACAACTCGGACCAAAACAAAGTCGGACCACTTTTCAAAACACACTCGCCGTGACTCGGCACTCGCGACATCTTTTTAGAACACACTCGGACCACTTTATTGAGACTTGGGCCAATGACTGTACAATGACTTTAAATTTGTGTTTGGGTATCAACGTAACATTGGTTTTGTTAGTATTTATGACCCTTGAACTCATGGTTGGGCTTACAGTCTGAAAAGGCTGAAGAGAGATAAGTTTCGTTTAAAAGTACTTTGATGGAATCACAGAAGTGACATCTTCAATGGTTTAGGGAGATAATAAGAATATTGAGAACATGGTTGAACTGCAAAAATATCCATCTTTCCGAATATACTTGGCTTTGAGGATCTGATTTAAATACATAGGATTTAAACTCTGCACCTTCAAAGATGGGGAAAATTCTAACAAGACAAGGCCTAGAGGACAACTTTTACAAAAGCTATCAGAGGCTGGATAAGAGGCAAATGTTTCAGAATGTTTTGAAAATTCTCAGACTTCGGCCCATTGCCACCATCAAAACATCCATCATCTGTCGATTCTACCTGTTCCTAAGAATGTTAATATTGGATTAAAAGTCTAATCCTCAAAAATATGCAGGATATTAATTCTGAAAAGTACAGCTGATAGCTGAAGTTGAGCTATATCAGCTGGTAAAACTATTCATATGAATATTGTTCACAAATGCTTTTTCTTACAAAATTGTATTTTCTATTAAACCATAGGTTACATCATTGTTCCAAACCATTTATTCAGAAGCTTTGCCAATATGTAACCAGGTTTTGTGCAATAAAAAAGAATGATCTGAGATCGGTAGGTCATAAAACTGGAATAGACCTTGATAATTGAAGACACACCACTAAACTTAGAAATGACAGAGAATACAGATTTCAGAGTGGCTCTGATAGTAAGTATAATAATATATCAATGGTAGAAAGAAATATTCTCAACTCTAATTTGCATCTTAGTCAAATACTTGTTGAGGGACCTAACCTGGGCTCTAATGACTATTTAGACAATTGGTACTTGTGGCATTTTTTGCATGTAATTTTTATATATTTTTTTTTCTATTTTCTAGGCTGGTGGAATGGCAGGTACTTCAGTTGATGTGATTTTATTTCCATTAGATACAGTTAAAACACGGTTACAGAGTCAACATGGTTTTATCAAATCTGGAGGATTCCGTGGTATTTACTCTGGATTATTCTCTGCAGCATTGGGTTCAGCACCTACAGGTATCAAACTTTTCAGGTTTTCAATGCTAAGATACAATATGTGTCATAGTATATATTAGGATACAGTGTAATGAAATAAAATTTCACTTTATCTTCAATGATGTCAGGTTGATGTTGAACCACTACTTTCTTCTGTATTTGAAAGATGTAAAGTTTTATGCCTTAACATGTCTGGTTTGCCTGGTATCACAAAGGTTTGATACTTCTTGTGCTATGTTGTATTGCAAAATATTGATTCACAAATGGAATATATGCTTACTGACATGACAGTTCAGAATGTATGTTGTGTTTCAGCTGCCTTGTTTTTCTGTACATATGAATCAACTAAACATATAATGAAGAGTTTTGTTAAACCTGAGTATGAAACCATATCTCATATGACTGGTGCATCAATAGGGGAATTGGTGAGGACTAAATTTTGTTATTTCTTATTAAAGTATACCAACTGGGCAAATACATTCTGGTTTAAATATCCAAAATAGACCAAAACATTAGCCTGATGTGGAAAATCTCCATGAAACAGGGCCTAGTGTATGTGTCTCTACACCAGCTGACAACTATCAAAAAAGCTATCAGAGGCTGGAATAGATGCAATAGATGAAATTATTTCAATAGCTATGCAGGATCTTTCAAGTATGAAATGAATCACAGAGCTAGGTGTATGTAGAAAGAAAATGTGTTTTGAGCCCAATGCCCTGCACCAACCAAGATACCATATATGTCTTAAAAACTTGTATTCTAATTTAAGTAACTTAAGTTCTATTTTGTCCTACAGGCAGCATGTCTTCTGCGAGTTCCAGTAGAAGTTGTAAAACAGAGAGCACAAACAACTCATGCCACTTCTTCTATACAGGCTTTAAGAAATACGCTAGCTTCCGAGGTTTGTTGTGCTTTAATTTATCACATGAGGAAAGACGGCTAAATTGAAGATATCAGTCTTCATATGCGTAATATACAATATAAAATTGGACGTTGTGACATTTTGATCATCAAAGTGATATGTGATTCAGCGGTGGCACCAGCCTTCCAAGACTGGGGGTACAAATAGGGGGCAGACCGACTCAATGAATTGCTGAGGCTGAATTCAAATTTCTGCTACTCTGTGGTGGTGTCATAAAGTGTCTTAGAGGGTTCTCTCAAGAAATGTTTTAGAAAAAATGAATTGATTTTGTGCATTCTGACACATATTTTGGAGAAAAAAGGTAAACATTTAGATTTGTTGAAAATAAAGTGAGGGTACAATTGGGGTGCAAACCACTTTTCTAGGGGACATATGCCCCCCTGTACCCCCACTGCCATTGATTGTTTATTACCTTCCTATGATAAAACTTGTAATTAATGTTATACTTTATTGTCATATGGTGATATACATATATATCTACAAACCTATAGCTGTACATTAGGTTCTGTGACAAGTTAATTTGTACTAAATGATTTACTACTGATATATTATATATTACAGGGTGTTATTGGTCTATATAGAGGGTTTCTAGTCACTGTTGTTAGGGAAATACCCTTTTCATTCATACAATTTCCACTCTGGGAATTTTATAAGGTGAGTTATATTTCTTCAAAAAGATTTGTTTGTAAATGTAATAGGCTCTGAGAGCTCACATTGAGCAAACCCTTGGAATTCTGAATGCTGCCTTAAAGTCAATTTTAGTTGTTAATTTTAGTTGTTAAAGTTTTACTTGAAACGTTTGGATCTAAGCATTCATTTACATGCAATCATGTACTTTTGATTTAAAAAAAAAAAGTTAAATTGCTGTGTGGGTGTATCTTACCATGTCTGGTAAGCTTTCTTGTCTTTTATTAGAAATCTTGGAAAAAGAAACAGAATCGTCCAGTCAATGCCTGGCAGTCTGCGGTATGTGGGGCCCTGGCAGGTTAGTTAATACTTTCAAAAAATATTTATTCCTGCAATACATTATCTTTCATTCTAAGACTGGGAAATTAGCAAGAAAAATGTTTCTTGCCTATTGGGTAAGCAATTGCAGACCAGTAGGATTGAAATCTTATGTTTTGTTTTTCAACACATGCCATCCATGATCTGATGAAATTTTTCTTTAAATTGTGTTCTGTGAAATTTAGACACTTAAAAAGTAGAATTAAAATAGTAATAACTCACTGTGTTATCTTAGAAATGACTTACATTTGTTTACTCTCAAAATCTCTGGTGATGACATCAGAAACATGTTTTCTCGAATTTGTTGAATTTTCTGTATTTTTTTTAGGAGGAATATCAGCAGGCCTCACAACTCCATTAGATGTAGCTAAAACTAGAATCATGCTGGCACAGGTAACTGATATTTCACAAACAAAAGGATTGTCTTGAGTCAATGGCCACTCCCACTATCTTGCATTGATGATTTGCTCTACCACAGAATGGGAGGGATTAATAAACTGAGGTAGCGTATGCTATCAGCTGTGCATGTTAAAGAACCCTCCACAGTTGGAAATAAAAAAAAAGTAGGCTGATGTTGCTGTACTGGCAAAATTTTCCTCATTGCACACTGCATGGCATTACCCTTCAATAGCCCAATTAGGTTTGCTAAACTTGCCTCAATTCTTACCCCAAACTATACCAAGATAATTTTTGGATAAACTGAACCAAATCATTTATGTAATAGATTTAGCAACCAAAATCTTTCTAGAACAGAATTTTGATATGTTCCTTCCATTACAGAAAGGCAGTAAGATAGCAGGTGGAAATGTTTTTACAGCTTTAAAACATGTCTGTCATGAGAAAGGCTTCCAAGGGTAAGTGTCTAATAGATAAACTACGTACACATTAACCTCTATTTGGACCCTAAGAAATTAATGTCCATTTGACAAATCCAACTGATGTTATGGGGTCTGTAAAAGTGATCATGACCTGCCTTGCAAGACACCTGCCATAGTATTTGTTGTAGTGACGCTCAAATTCCAAGATTTTGGACATGTTTGAAGAGTGACCCAGGGGACAGTTCTTCAAAGATCAAATCAAAATTTTGGGAGATATAATTAGTCTAAGCTTATTGGGGCAAGCCAATGGATGTATCTCTTTTGCCCCTTTACCTACCTATTAAGATCATCTACACTATTCTAACTAAACATCAATATTTTGTATTAAAACCAGTAAAAACCATACTTAAGAAATATAATTAATGCTTAATATTGTGATATCAACTTGAACCAATATCACCCAGCCCTTTATTGAAATATATATGATATGATATTTAATTATGTTTATATTTTCTAGGTTATATGCTGGTGTTATACCTAGAATAATGTGGATATCAGTAGGTGGAGCTATATTTCTAGGTGTTTATGAGAAAGCCTGTATTGAATTGTCAAAAGTTATTGGAAGTAACAGTTGATATAGACCAACCATAGTAAATTAGTAGTTTTTTAAAAAAAAATCTAAACACTACCTCATTTTATAACAAATGACTCTTTGTGAAAAATTATGGGATGATTTGAGAATTTTGAAAAATAGCCTAATTTTATTTGATTCAGAAGATAGTTGAAATAGTGCCTTCATTACAAGGATCTCATCACATACTTGTTAGTGTTTAATTGTTGATAAAAGAATGATAGAATAAATAATCAAATTGTTTTATTAATGAATAGATATGTAATTGATTTTTAATGAATAGAGTATTTAATTGATGTGTATTCAATGATTTGAAATTTATTGTTTATGGTGGTTCCATTTTTATGGGTCAGTTAAACTGTAGTGTGGCCATTTTGTGAGTGGTATTAATTCATTAATATTTTGCAAAAATTAAAGTCCTCAAGAATGTTCATCTGAACAAGTTTTTGTCATTTGACAAATTACTAAAAAAAATGGTTTTTTTTCCTGCAATCTTTGATCATCTTCACAATGCCAAGCTATTATATCTCTGTCTAATGAAGCAATGTTTTTGTATTGCTGAAGTTTATTAAAAAATACAGCGATTTGATTGGACTGTACACTGGTGAATGCAGCCAATTAGAGCAATCAACAGACAAACAATACAATGAAAGTGCCGTAGGATTAAGGTACCGGTAGTAGACAGAATTTGTAAATGACTTATGATTAAGGTTTCAGACAGAGTTTGTTATAGCTTGACATGCCTTTAATATTTCACTTCAAGATCAAATGCTTAGAAATATTTTGCCAACTGAATAAAAAACTAACATTGTAGAGAACTGGTGTGACACTCATTGTCTATCATTCAAACCACTTATCCATCTGAACAATGTTGAAGTAGGATATTTAAAGATAACCTATTGTTAAACCCACTAATAGTTGATTATGTATAATTTTATAACCTTTTAAATGATTTAAATAGATATATAATCTAATTCTTTTATTATCTGTAATTTGTGGGCCAATAAAGATACTTTATATTTTATTAAATCAATAGTCCCTTAACTATCACTCAATTACTAGTCAATTTAGGTGGGTAGGTGCCTTGGATTTTTCAACCCATTTTGATGCATAAACTGAATTGGCAAAAGCATCAGGATAAACTTAAGATGAAGCCCTGTATTTCCATATCGTTTTCTTTTGCTTTGAATAGGAAGTAACTATGCCAAATTTATGGTGTCCCTTTAAAATGCCACGCCCATTTTCAGCAGCTGATTGCGAGTAACCTCCCTTGAACAAGTTTGTTTACAAAATCACCACTCGTGAGAACCTATAACTTGGGACCAATATCTCTCTACAAAGCTTGTAAAATGTCTAAAGACGGGTTCAAAAACGTTGAGGCATGTGAATCCAAGATAGTCAACACGACAAACCAGAATTTGTTCGGTAGATATTGGGGAGAAGATGCGGAAATAGCTCAGCCAAGGTGAGTTGATCATCATTCCATTCATCATTCAGGCAATGAATGGCATGATCTTCTAGTTCAATATGTGTTAAAAAGTGTCGAGGAAGAAAAATAAAAGAATAGTTCTCTTCTAAAAATTGGCAAAACCTGAGGATGTTGGTTTTTATTGTGATGATATATAAGTTAAAAACCCATGGCATAAGGCAAATGTGATGAAGGCAGTCAAGCAGGAAGCACATATTAATAAGCTACACTACAATTATCCTGGTCTAATTATTAGCCATTTAGATTCACTGAATTGAATGAATCTATTCTACCCAAATTATAAGCCTATAGTCAAATATATTAGGCCGATGTTTCAGATATCAATCAGATGTCACACGAATGTCCTTTGACGATTTAGTATATTTGGGCCTTGGTTGGAGATTTTTGCATGGTGCTAGATAGTTTCAAGGGATGTTATAGATACGAATGTCACTGGAGTGCAAAATTTGCAATAAAAACTTCAATGAAGTGTGAAATCTTCAAATGACACTTATTGTTATTAACCGACCATACACTAATGCAATATATACCCGAGCAGACGGTATACTGGCCGTTGCTAAGTGATGTCATACAACGTTAACGTCATTAGCTTTCACTTTTATTACTTGGAGTTCAGGGTATATGACGTTATTTTATTTACACTCAGGGTTCAAAGTAGACTTATTTATGTTTCAGTGGTCTAGTATTTATTAGTCATGGTGCTGGGGAACATTGTTTATGGTATAATCAACTTGCTACTCAACTCACAGACAAAAATTTATTTGCATTTGCACATGATCACAGTAAGTTTTATCAAAACTGTTTACTGACACTTCATGATACTCCACTTTTATCAGCTGCATTTTATCATCATGCAAAATTGGGCAATTCAACTGCCTGCAGTTTTTTTATTGTGCACCTGACCACTGACTGTCTCTTCTGACTGAAGCATTTTGATTCTGTTCTTGTACTAACATACTGATAATTCAAAGGTTTAAGAACAGATCTTTCATGTACATATGCTAAGCAGTTTGAATTGTTTGGAATAATGCACTTTTCAGTCATTGAATTTTCCAAAAATGTACTTGACTTATTCAACAAAAGTCATTGAGTGTTGTGTTTTTCAGTTGGTCATGGACAAAGTGATGGAGATAGAGTACATATAGATGATTTTGATATTTATGTCAATGACGTGTTTCACCATATTGAGATTGTACAGAAAAAATTCCCTGATGTCCCTACATTTATTATTGGTCACTCAATGGTCAGTATCTGTACTAGTCATGTTTTACAAATGAGAAGAGCTTGTAGGCAGCCTTATTGCATGAAAATTATGATAGGAGATCCTATTCCTAATTTGTCTTAAAGAAATGGCAATTGATATGGTCTTGTTGGTAGCTATCTTGCTTGACAAATTAGAATTTATCTAATTTAACTGAGGAAGTAGATTTTTTGAGAAACCGTCCCATTCTATAAGATTGCTTGAGTTTTAAAAGACTTTGACCGGTGTTGTCATAGAAACTAAGAGTGCTTTTTTATCTGTGAAAATAATACTGAAGAGAATATGATATTCATGGCTTTATCTTGTTCCAGGGAGGTGCTATAGCCATTATGGCAGGGTTAAAGAGACCAAAGTTTTTTAAAGGTGTTGTATTAATAGCTCCAGCTATAACTCCCAGTCCTGATGCTGTACAGCCCTGGAAGGTAAGATTTTATGATATTTTTTAATCATGGTGCTTTTTACATAGATGGCTTTAAAATGGACGTTATCTCCCTTTAATTATAAGCCACTGGGACATCTAGAAACTCCATTGTTTTCATTTAATTGTATTTTCTTGAGAATTTATTTACAACTCAACAGCTATAGTTTTGAGAATCACTTAATGAAATGGAGTTTTATGTCCTACTGGACCAAAGAAATAGGAAATTTTATGTCCAAACTAAATCTTACTGGTTTTATGACTCAAAACTTTGCTTTCTCACCATTTCTTAGTAGCATGAAAATAGTAGTATTGTTTTAAGAGAGGATCATTCAAACAGTTTTCAACTTTGGCACTTGAGTACAGATTACATTAAAGAGAAAGATCTTGCTTTCCAAAGATTATTTTTTGAACCAAATTATATTTCAGATTACTATGGGTAGATTTTTATCACGATTGTGTCCCCAGGCTCCTATTTTAAAACTTGACCCTAATAATGTATCTAGAGACGAGGCAGTGGTAATCATTTACACAATATTGTTTGTTGGCTTCACTCTTATTTTATATTGACTAATTCTAACTTCTTTCTGATCTTGAGCATGAAATGTTGCTGGACATTTTTTCTTAATTATTTTCAGAAAACATCCATTTTAGTACTAATTCCATATGAAAACTATAGATAGAAGCACATAAATTTAAAAATTATCAATTTGTCTGTGTATCAGTCAATTTATGTTGATTTCAAAAAAGAAAAAAAGAAAATCTAATTTTTTATAAAAAAGATCTTATTTTTCATTAAAAAAATTGATTAGATTATTTGTCATATCTGTTAGGCATTTTGTTTAAGATCCACTTGTTGTAATTGGTCACTGTTGTCTTAGCTGATTGCTTATTTTCTTGAATAATTTTGCAATTTTTTGGCCGTGAATATTTTTGAAGTTTCTATCCAACAGCACCAATCTAATTTTTCTTGAATTCATCTGCTAGATTGTGTTGTTTCCAAGAATATTTCTGTTTTTTTTTTAGGTGAAAAATTCATTTTTTGATTGAAATTTTATGAAATATCCTTTGCCTGTTGAATTATTGTTACCTCTAACTAATTTCTGTTGACTTTGCAGTTATATATTTGTAAAATTCTTGCATGGATAACACCAACACTAACATTAGCTTGGGTTGATACAAGTTTAATATCTCGCTCTAAACTTTTGGTGATTATGCCTTTTTCTGTATTTTTTCCAACTAATTTTTTCTTGCTCTATTTTTTTCTTGCTTGTATATTTTTGCTTATTTTGAATTGTGAATGTTATACTGAGTTCTATGTGTTTTTTATGATTTATAAACTGGTAATTTACTAAATTAACGGATGTAATAGAGACACTTCAATATTTGCAAAAAGGAATGAATGGAGTTTTACGTCCAATTTATGATTTCCAACTGCTGAGAGATCTTTAACGTGACCATCTAATATTTTCAAGACATTTTTAACATATGAACCCATCATGGTTATGCTAATAAAAAAGAGTTTTTCTTATAAATTGTTTATAATCTGCCTAACAGTTTTGCGTCATGATTCATGATTGATATTTATAATTCATTTTCTAGGTAAATAGATATAAAGAAGATCCTTTAGTTCATCATGGTGGGCTAAAAGCAAAGTAAGTTTTGTAATAATTTGGGTGACAATAAGAGATAATATACATACAATTTTCTTCTTGGAGTCCTAGTGATATTTTGGATCAATTGTGTGTATTATTTTGCCATTCCTGAAATTTCCTATTGGCCAATTGTTATGTCAACCTGTTTATAGAACAGAAAGATCCTGAGTACAGGAGAACCATCGTTAATGGTAGAAAGAAGCTATTCTGGCTTTGATTCCCTCCCTTCAAATTTCTTATTATTCAACAGAGGAAAAACTTGCCTGTTAGCCCCCTCTGTAACATTCAGTGGCAGAGCCAGGTTTACTGGTGGGGAGGGGCGAGATATTGAAATTGCCCGAATCTCTAACCTCTTCCCCCCCCCCACCCCCCCCTTTGGCTCAGCCACTGTTGACATTATGTGGCCCTTTCTTGACTTTCATTTCAGATGGGGATTATGTATGATAAATACACTGAAGTATATAGAAGATAATCTCTCAACAATAACATTCCCATACCTTAATCTACATGGTGATCAAGATAAATTGGTGGATATTCAGGGATCAGAAGATATGCATGAACATTCTACCAGCTCAGATAAAACTTTTAAAGTAAGTCTATTAAATATACCAAAAAAACATTATTCGCTATAGTTGTATCAGGTGTTCAAAGACTTATTTTATTCAAATTCAATATAGTCTATGAAGTTGGACGCAGGAGCTTGAAAATATTCAAATAATTGCCATCATAAGTTTGGCTGAGTTAAAAGACAAATAAGTGTAGCTACTGCATTGAATGTTTTTAGCGCTGCAAGACATACAAAAATTCACAGAACAAACAAAATTGAAATTCGAACTTGTACATCCAAAATCTGAAACTTAAATTACTTAACAACAAAATGTAGAAATTGGTTTTTTTTATACAAAAATGATGTAGACTTGTCCTGAAATTTCATACATGTGATTATGTTCCACGCGGTTAAATCATTTTGAAGCAACAATTTTTATTGCAATTCTTTTAAGAGTAAGCTTTGTTTGGGTTGTTGAGAATATGTGTTTATTTAATATTTTCTAGAAATATGAGGGATATTATCATCAGCTTCATAATGAACCTGGGGAAGATGGTGCTGGAGTTCGACAAGAAATTGTAACATGGATCACAGACAGATTACCACATTAAACTATGACAGCTGATCTTTTAATCTTTTCTATTTTAATCTGTTTATTGTTTTACTTTAATCCAAATTTTATTTTTTTTCTGTGTTCAAAAGGTATACAAAAATTTACATATCATATCTTCATATTTGTCAAACAGGTCTCTGTCTTATTCCAAAGATTTTTTAATCAACAATTTTTTATTTGCATTGATGTTTTAATTTATACCTGTTTCCTTTTTAATAATGATAATAATAATAATGATCACTTTTTTTTTCTGTGTTACATTTTTTAAGCAAATTTAGAATGGAATTTTCTGTACATTCATGAAATAGCTCCATCTAAATACCAGTTTAAGATCTACCACCTGAATATTCTCTTTATACCTTGTCTTATCAAGTCTGTTGATTACCCTGTAATAGCTGTATAAAGAAATTTGAAATTGATTGCATTGTCTCCGAGAAACAAAATGACAGGGAAAAACTTAATCAAATCCAGTATTTTTATCATTTTTCATCATTTGAAATGCTATCTGTAACAAATATTATAAAATATTGCACTATTGGAACTATAAAATCAATGAACAATTTTTAAATAACAGGAAGTCCTATTTGAATTGTATGATCAAATTTAATGAATGATAAGGATAATTTGATCTGTATGTCTACACGTTTCAGATATAAATTTCTCATCAGGACAAGTAGTTCAGGGTTAAAAATGATAGGGTCACAAAAGGGTTAACTTCATTTTTGCTACAATTTAAGTAGTTTACTTCTCTCCAGTTTATTTCTCAGGATCAGTGTATATTTGTCTTTTAGTAAGATGCTTCACTCCATTTTTTCCATGTTCAATTTTTGTCATTATTTTTATAGCATGTAAACAAATTTCTTGCTTGATTTTGTATGATATATTGTTATAAACCAAACTTTCAACTTGAAATGAATTGCATTATATTTTTATTGCTCAAATTTTATATTATCACAGTATTTTTACCTGTATAAACATTGTATATTGTTAAAACTTTTGTATATCTTGGCTTTTACAAAATTTTGTGTATATTTTGACTCTTAAAACTTGTATATTGGATTACTAATGATTGATATTTAATAAAATATTTTTCTATTTTTCAACAGTTTATGTATACAAAATTTGTGGACTCTTACCAAAGTCTTACTGTTATTTTAGTCCATGACCATAGCTCAAAAAATATTTGGCGGAAGACAGCAAGTTTTGGGCTACTTTGGATGTTCACAGTGAAATTGTAGGCCTTAGTTAGGTATGATACTGATAATTGACTATCTGAGTCCATCTACCAACAAGGTGCCTTGTTTAAAGTAAGAAACACCACCTATATGTTAAAAGTTAGTTTTGGCTGTAACTATTATCATTGGTTGGGATGCTTATACCTTGCTCAAAATGTTTCTACCTATTTGTATATAAATGTCCTGTATGAAACAGCTGTAATGATTGAACTTTATATTATTGTGTGGGTTTCACCAATTTTGTCTATTGACCACAATTGAACTTATGGCATTTTTCTGACATTTAAACATGAATTAGTTACATTCATAATGATAAATAATTATAAGAAATACCAGCAATAACATATTTCACACAGTTGTACAGCTTGTATTGTAATCAAACTTATATTATAGCCAGGGCAGTAACTATATGTAGGCAAGTGCATTTAGATCACTGCCAAAATTTTGTAGCCCATGCTTCATACCATATAAACCTTAGTTATGGCCCGGATAAGCCTTTTTTTTAATATAATATATAAGAGCAATTCTTTATATTTTTTATGTTTTGAAAATTTATTAAATTTGACCATAATATAAGGCCTACCTAACGCCGATGTAGATAGTCCTCGTCTTAGGCAGTTTCACAGTAAAAAGGTTATAAAAGACTATAGCTAGGCCTAATTACGCAAAAGTATGTCGACCATGTGTCCCAAATAGATCGACGTGTTGTAACCATTCTGAGAGAAATATGATGGACGCAGGGAAAAATAATTCTCTATCAACAGCCGCGAGTGCTAGTTTTTTCGACCGCAATTCCACTTTCGCGCCAAAAATTCCAGCGTTAACGTCACGTGACTGTCAAAGTTTTCATTCCAACTTGATTTGTCAAATTGATAAACAACAGATGCGTCGTTTGCGAAATACATGTTATTGATTGAAATCCACAGTATGTAAGAAAACACAGCGCTTTACAATATCGCGGATATTGTTATGCTAATAGACTTGTGAATGGTTGAACTAGAATTTATGAAAACGACAAGCAGACGACGAGAAGCCACTTTATTTCATCACGAACGTGTGTTGTTGAGTGTCGATGGCATGGCCGTTTGACTTGTCATTTGATTTGTTTACTGTTTGTTCTGTCAACGTCTTGTGTTATTATTATTCGGGATTATTGAATATTATTGGATTAGCGGGTGCTGTTAATTATGAATTTTTGTAAATGATTTGTTTTTGATGATGAGATATTCTAGAAAATATCAGGTGAGATAAAAGTAAAAAACACTGACCAGAGTGACCATGTTGAACAACTTGCTTGCATGGCACCTTTCAATTCATGACTATGTATTTAAAGGGACTCACTTGTGTACAATATTTTGTATATGGTTCGAATTATCATTAAAGTTTGAAATCCTTTTTCCAAATCTCGCGCTGTCCTTATTTACTTGGCTTTGTTTTGGATTTGGAATCCAAACCAAAGGCAAATGAGTGAAAAGGATCAGCATTTGCAATGCAAGCAAATGACATTTCTTACACTCAGTCAGTGACTGAATGATAAACCAGTAGAGTACCAGCTCAGTACCAGTAGAGCCTGAAGTAACTGACGGATAGAGGAACATAAGTCAGTTTCATTTTTCCTGATTAGGCTAATAGTTGCTGTTTCAACTGACATTATAATTTAATTTCACCCAGGCCTTAACATCATGAGTTGTCAGTAAGAATGTAACTCTGTGGTGATTTAACAACAAACCCTCTCAAGTCTTCTGAACTATAATAACATTATCCTAACTTAGAAGTTACCAATGACTTCATATTATAATACTAGCTTGAATAATATCTGCATCAGTGCATGATATTTATAATAATTATAATGACATGGAAGCTAGGTAGGCTAGGGTCTAATTCATTCTAATAGAATAGTTCATTTCCACAGGAACTTTTGTCAATTATAATAAATGAACTTGAGCTAGAACTTTTTCACTCTTGTCAACTAGGTACTGGCACAGCCTGAATCGAAATGAAGATTTTAGGGAGCTGTCAAGGACGATAATAGGCTACTTATATTAACTATTTAGATTTCTTGGTAGATGTGACCATATTCCTTGAAAAGTTTCGATTAGTTGTTTCATTTGCAGTTGGTTTCTGTTTTCTGATGATTTTAATTTATAATGAAATTACAGTTATTGAAATCTTAAATGACCCATGGTCCAATTTATAAAGTCATTAGTTGACACCAGGTGTAACAACAAAAGATTAAATAAATGAAATGATACATTCCAATTATAAAGGATACTTTTGGTCATTGAGTATTGTCCAGTACAGCTGTCAAACCTAATAAACTTATTTTTGATGATAACAGTTTTATGTTTAGATATTAATAATAACTACATTGTCAGCTATTAGAGCTCAATTTCAGCTATCTGCAGCACTTCTTAGCAAAATAAGATGTAAGCTTACAATGAAAGTTTAAACTGCCACCAAGCAATGCAAAAATACTTAAATCTCATGAGCTGTTTTAGCTGATGATAATGATTATAATTCTACCCAATATTTCAGAACTTTACAGGAATTTCAACAAACTTGTTCACTCTCATTATTAAAATCAGCATTAGTTGCATCATGGAGTTATGAAAATTTTTCTAATGTTTGAAGCCAAAGAATACATCTAACATGATGTTAGAAGTGAAAGTAGAATACACTCTTCAATTTTTTATGGCGGGGGAGGGGCCCAAAAATTGCTGTCTAGATATGTCACTGATATCCAGTAATTCCACACAGTTCTGGTCAAACTATTCATATTCAATGTAGCTTCATGATAAACCAACTAAGTCTTGGTCCAGTTGAATGTGTTTTTTCTAAGCATAAAAATATTAACCTGAATTTTTTGTAGAAATGTCTGAAGGTGCTAAGCTGAATGGAATAAATGTTCCATTAGAAGATTATGGTGCTACGTCAAAACGACAATCAGAAGATAAAGTTAAAATTATAGATGATGATCAGTTGGTGAGTTAATTCAGATTTCATTTATATTGTATCAGTAAAGAGGGATGATGGCTATTTTATTCAAGCAAGACCCAGTATCAGTATCTGTACTCTTTCAACTTTATTTTGGTCATAGCTTTAAAGGGGATTGTAAAGATTTTTCTAAAAACTAATTGCATCAATTTACACCTTTCCAATTTTCAATCAGACCTTTGTGGTTCCTGTCATTCCACTAATAGCAAAGTTCCTAGATGAAAAGCATACACAAAAAATTTAGAAATCTTCTTTACAATCCCTTTAAGTGTATTTAGTTTCAATGGCAGCATCTAGATGTGCATAATTTATATCAATTTATGTAGCACAAAACAATACCAGTACCTGAATACATACATTAAATAGAAAGCTCCTATCAACAAAGTTATAGCTTTTTGCTTGATAAGACAATAGATTCTTATCTTTTTTGTCAGTATTGTATTAAAGTTATGATATAAAATTGTACCGATATTCTATTTGCCATAATAATGGAATGCTAAATATGATCTGTTTTTAATGATACTATTATTGAACTGCATTTCACCATGGTATTTTAACTTATTTAATGACTATGTGGGTGGGTTAATATTTCTATACCAGTATGTTAGAGAATAGAATTCAGTTTAATACCGTTCTTTTTGACTTCAGTGAGTTGCTTACCTTGTTATTATGTCTAATTCCACACTGACTCATAATGCTACTGCAAGTCATGGCAATTCAGTGCTTCAGCACAACGTTTGCGGTCTGCTCGCACTTGTCAGCGCATAAG